TTGTTGGTGGGATTTATCTAACCGTGGGAATTTTGACTGCACGTCTGAAACATTGTTTGTTCTATGGAGAGCCTGGTCACTGGATGGGAACATGAACATATCACCACCGACTCGAGGCCACCGATAAAAATAATCACAGCCACACATTCACTTTGAAGTGGGGCAACACGTAATATTTGAATTTGATAAATTAGCAAAAATTCCCAATCCGCTCCTCTGACTGACATTTAGGCCACCTCAGTGTCAATGGTTTTGTCAGTAGGCCCTGGGCAAGACATTTGCTAGAAGGGATCATGGCTGGTGGTTGAGGATAATGGAGTTGCAACGATTCTTGAATGAAATGTATTCAATGGAACGTCCACCGCTGAAATGGAGTGAGGAAATCAGCTCGCGTGCAGGTGCTAGGTGGATTGTTACATCGTAGGCCCATGATAGATGGCGATTACTTGGGGAGGCCTCTATCCATCAGTGATTGATAATGATAAATAAGATGATGTAGGCTGTAAAGGGATTGCAGAAATTAAAAAAAACATGCGGGCATAATAAGCTTGGCAATGGTTTGCGGTGTGTTTATGTACATTATTACATACATCTGCTGTGTAAGAACATTTAGAAACAAATAAAAGCTGAAATGAGGCCCATGTTTAATTCTGTGATCATCAGGCTATGTGTACCGCACTGTAATTTGTTATCGTAGAAATGGTCACGTGCTTTTTTCTGCAATTGATTTTTCCCCCCAGAATCTCCTTCTCAGAAGAGAAAAAAAACCTCCCATTATTTCCATGGGGTCAGCCACTCAGAAATTCTTTCTCCATGTACTTCTCGTCTGCGCCTCTTCTCTCGTGACATCCACTGTCATCATTTCTCAGAATACAAATATTTAATACCACGCGCTCGTGTCATTGGAGCCCCATTTGAGCATGACACTATTGTGCAAGTATACATAATGTTCCAGGCTTGGCACCCTGCCCACCACCACCACCTCAACCTATTTGTATATTTTCCTCTGCTGAACATTAGGCAGAATAAAAACATTGCTGAAAGTAGTGTATTATATAAAGTAGTGCATTATATAAAGTATTGCATTATATAAAGTAGTGCATTATATAAAGTAGTTCATTATATAAAGTAGTGCATTATATAAAGTAGTGCATTATATAAAGTAGTTCATTATATAAAGTAGTGCATTATATAAAGTAGTGCATTATATAAAGTAGTGCATTATATAAAGTAGTGCATTATATAAAGTAGTGCATTATATAAAGTAGTGCATTATATAAAGTAGTGCATTATATAAAGAAGCATTTGCACACGGAGATGATGGTGCTTGAAAATCATTTTTTCAAAATAGGTGCGCAGTCCTTTGACAATTCACTGGGAAGATACAAAAAAAGCCTTTCCACAGTATACTGCATGTGCATGCTCCTTCTAAATTGTATTTCTTCAGTGAATGTCTCATTGTACCTCCGATTAGCACGGTTGGCTACATACGGTGTGAAAGTTCAACATACATGTATGAAATACGGGGCTATGTTTGCCAGAAAATCCAGTGTTGTACTGTCCTATGCTCTGGCATCTATGCTCCCCACCTTCACCAGCCTGCGCTAACCAGAATGGCGCAGTATGGTCCGTACTCCCCATGGGGAAGGATTAATCAAGCAGTGGATAGACAAAATGCGTTTATTGTGTACAGCGCTGATCGGGATGGGGGGGGGGCAATTGCCCTGGGCCTCACAGAAAAGAGGGCACCACAAAGGGGTCTGGGTTTTTGTTGTTCTCACGTATTAATAAACAGGCCCCACGCGGTACTCTGGCCCAGGTCTCCAAGAACATATCGTGTGAATTACCGAGGTCACCGTGTACTTTCTGGGTCACCGTTTACCGTGCACTCTGCATTTGAAACCTGCCTCTGCACCGAGGTTTTGTCGATACACATGGTGACACCGCCGAAGGAAAACTGGTTGGATTTGTTTTTTTTAATCAACCAATGTTGCAACGGTTATTTCATTCTCCCCCCCCCTCCATGCAATTGTAGAGGTCACCTTCAAAGTTTATCAAACGAAACTTCAGTGAATAACATTGAGGGCAAGCTGCCGCATGCACATCTGTGCATTATTATGAACGCTGCGTTTTAAATCGCAGCTGCACAAATGCATAAAATGCACACGCATCTGACGTCAGCTTCAGTTGTGCATAATACACTACACGTACGGTCGTATTGTTAATCCACTGCTGGATGAGGGCCTCCCCATGCTGTGCGAGGCTGACTGTACTCTGGGGCTTGGCTATACTTCACCACGTTGGGCATCGTGAGTTGAAGGCGGGGAGCATAATCGTGCGAGCAAGGAAGTAAAGTCGCATACAGCGATGACATTTTGCTGGACTGCAGGCCTTTTACAACCGTTGGTGTATACTTGTCACACATCCAAACACTATCCATGCTCAATTCAGGATCCGGTAAAAAAGAGCAAATTGTGAGTAATGTGGTGATATTCCTCTGAATAAAAAGCACGGTACATTTTACAGCACATTAACAAAATGAAAACCAATTGTAAATGCAATGCGTCTGTTGCAAGTGAAATATCGTAAGAGACCATCGTGTAAATTTCAAAACAAACGCAGATAACGCAGAAGAAATCACCCGTTATGAGCAACTCTCTCGTAGGGATGCACACCGATTGCTTTGAATCACTGGGTGTAAGTCATACTTGACCACGGGCATTGTTCGTACAACTGTCATTTTCAAGTGGCGTAGCGTAGTTGGCATGGGCCCCGTCTTTGTAGTCCGACTCCTGGGTTCCTCTGGTCCACGGGGGCCCAGTGCAGTTGCACCTCCTGCGCACTCGATAGCTACGCCAACGAGTTTCAAACAAGCATAACACAAATCCGTTTAAGTTACGGAGGATGTTAGTGCACTGAATGCGTTAATCTGTTCAGTCGCAATAAAAGTACAACAGTAACAGCTAAGTGACGAGCAATCTGAGTAAAAAAAAAGGTTGTATTCCAGCAACTTAGCAAAAATAAATCTGTGCAAACTGAGTATAGTATTTGTTAAAAGTTCCTTATTTTTACATCATTAGACCTCCTTTGCCAGTACCAAAATGTAATAAAAGGGTTTTTCCCCTTTTTTCTGGCAACACAACTGAAACCTTTTTACAAGAAATCATGTGTGCATTAACCACAATACTTGTGGTCAAAATGCAAAGATTTTTAGAAAGGCTAAGCGCATACCTAAAATTCAAATGTCAAACCACCTCACCAGCCATTATTCACACCGCCTTAAAACAGGAGCATATATACAAGAGACTCGCAATCAGGCAATGGTTATTCTTCAGAAACACAGGGTGGCAGAGACTGTCGAATGTGAGGTGGATGTGGTGTGCCCAATTAATTTTAGGAATGGATGTTTCAGAAATGTTATGCTATGCTGAAATTTAGCATTGCATACAGTACGCTCCATGCAGTAAAGTACATTTTGAGTTTTTTTTTAAATGTTTACATGCAGCTGCACAGTCTATATCTGCAAATAACAATATTTCAATATTTATGTGTGGAGAGACAGTGCTTACATGTTACATCAAGGAGCATAAACCATGGCACAAACTCCGGTCATCCTTTCAGCGGCTTTTGGATAGCCATCAGGCAAAGACGGTCACCTCATCGTGTGCTTTCAAACGCGCTTCTTCGGCCCTCTTGAACGCTCTTCCTTCCGATATTAGGAAGCCACTGGAGCTGTGCACTTTTAAATTTAGATTGAAAATTAATTTCTTTAGAACATTTTTGTGTTTAGCTTGTTGTCCTTCCCCCGCACCTCCGATTAGCACGATTGGCTACGTACGGTGAGAAAGAGGTGCGACATATACAGTATCATCGTTCCCAGTATATACGCAGTACAATACGTGCACATTATTCATAGCCCTTTGTCAATCTACTGCTGGATGAGGTGATTACGACATGCACACTCTGTGGTGGTGGTGGTATTGGAGCATTGCACAACAAACACGCGATAGTGTGTATGGAGGTCCATTGCTCAACATGCTTTGTTAGCTTGTAAAGATAGTTTTTCCCCAATACATAATAATTCTTTAAACGAATAAATGACAACCCTTTGGCAATCCGCTTCTGGATAAAAGCCTCCCCATGCTCTGCCAGTCATGGGGGGTTATTTTGACCATACTTCCCCATGCTGGTCAGTACGGATTTCTTGAAAGGGGGTGGCCTGGGACCGGTTCAGTTGTCACTCGCCACTGAGGTTAACCGTGGCCAAGATTCGACCTGAGGTCGCCAGGTTCACAGCAAAGTGCGATAACCACGAACTGTTTTTTTTCTTAGTGTGCTATCCTTCCCCCGCACCTCCGATCAGCGCGGTTGGCTACGTATGGTGCGAAAGAAGTCCAACACGCATACATATATTAGGACTCCAAAGAACACCTCCGTTGCTATATGTTCTCGTACATGCTATGCGAAATGCTTTTCATAACCAAATGTGCCACCAGATTGCAAATGACACTATTAGCATCCAACACAGATCTAAATTTGCATGACGTTACCTGAAGGCATAAACAGAGGTATATAGTTTAAATACGATATACGTGGAGCAAAGCCTTGCGACAACACTCACACCGACAGAAATGTAAAATCATACGCAGCCCTGATGCAGTTGCAAACCAACCCCCAAAACGAAGCATCTTGGCACTACGATAGGGTACATCAAACATCATCTGCAGCAACAGCATAGTGGACACACGTAGTACAATTTACGGCAACATTCCCTTTCAATTAAAGATGCTTTGTGTCCCCTCAGATATCAAAGTTTCTACATCGTAATATCTGCCACTTCTGCAGATTCGGTGACAATTTTAGCCCCCAGGGGGATATTGTTTTCATCTGCTGCAGCTCTCATCTATCCACTGATAATAATCACCCTTGGTATAAGGTTTCCACTCAAACTATTTTGCTGATATCGGTTCTTGTTTTGCATTTTCTTGAACGTCCCGTGCCTTTCTTCTTCTTCTTCAAAGCCCAGCAACTCGGGATCTTTTCCACGTCTCGCCAGAGACCTAAGTGCCCCGATGCTCTGCAAAATGTGCATTTTGCAGCGGCAGTGTTTACGCAAATTTCCATGGACCACGAATTGAACCCTCAAGCAATGTCGTTTTGCACAATTGATTAAGATGTTTTAGCGGGCATTTCAAAACCATCAATGCAATGGTGTAACACGGTCGAGTGCAACACGGGATTACAGACAATAGCTTGTTATATGGTACTGGCATTTCACATGCCAGATCACAGCATTAATCAGAAGTCAATCACCACTATGTGGAATGTAGTTGCTTTCGAACATGTATTTACCATTGCGATATTTAGCAAGCAGAGAATTCAGCCAAGCAAAAACAACAACATAATGATTAAAATTGCATTTGATATAATTGCGACATGTTTAAAAACAGAATACTACTTAAACACAAACCTGTTTGATGCAATACGAATTACATTTCAATCAGCTACCAAAGTCACAGCACAATTCTGAATCATATTATAGCAAGTAGAACTAATGGGCACAAATGCTCTTCGCCAATAATTCGCTTTAGTGCATATTGACAAGTGCAGATGTGCAAATGGTTTTTCATGCGTTCACCACATAAAAAGCATTCCTAGCAAAAAACCGAAAGCATATTTTGGCAGGACATCAAAATCCAAAACACACACACATTTTTTTGAATGCCTGCCATCATAAATTAGATGGAGGCTAGATGCAAATCGTTTTTTTTTTGTTTAATGGGTACACATGATGGGAGCTGGTGGGTGAGTGGGGGTAAAATCCAGTACATAACAATATTCTGGACACCAATTAAAAACAAATTCTGCAGCTGCAAGGCATCAGATAAGAGAAGCTGTTGAACATGGGGGAACATCAGACGGTCGACACAAAGCGGCCCACATAAACACCCCTCGCTACGTGCTCCGAAGCGCCACCCGCCCTGGGGGATTCGATTTCACCCAGTGGCCTGCCTCTCTGCCCTTTTCATTGTGCGCCATCTGTGTGGAATTACACAGCCGCTTTGGGTGAACGAGCGAAGCACGGCGTGCACGATGGAGGGGCCCATGGAAATGTGGCAGTCTTTATCTCTGCCATCGCGCCAAACGGGCCCGGGAGCAGCACCTGGAACACGTGGGCGCGATCGCCGCTTTTACACGTCGGCTGCTCTGCCGGTCGTTGCCTCGGGTTCAAAGGTGCAGAACAGTGATGGAGCTCGGCCCAATCAATGGGTGCCCCTGTAAAGGACAAAAATAATAATTATTTTGGAGACCCTCCATTTAATTCATGAATTCCCAGCGAATTTTTGACAGAAAATATATATTTTGATTTAAAGCTTTCGTGACTGCAGTAATTCATATTCTTAGTTTTTTCGGTAAAGTAACGTTGAAGAGAAACAACAAAATAACAAAATATATTGTTTTATATATATTTTGTTATTTTGTTGTTTCTCTTCAACGTGACTTTACCGAAAAAACTAAGAATAAGAAAATATATAGACAAGCAGATTCCGATTTATGTTAGTTGCGATAAGATGAATGTGAACAAATATACATGTAGTGAGACGAGAGAAGAGAGATGCAGACAGGATCTAAATGCGAGTAATCAATTCACGTGTTATGTTAATTGACGTTTGTTATGATTTAAAATGTGAGCTCATATTTAATGCATCCGTTATTAGCGCGAATCTCTTGGCGTACCCTTAGCTGTCTATTGGTTTGCCTTTTCACCAGCGCCACCACTGGTGCAGTGTACAGTACACACGTGTAGTGGATTCAACCGAGTCGCAGACTTACTCTTTGCAGGCAACACATATTTATTAACACCAACACGTAACACAAAGGGGGTTACTGCACCTTTACCAGATAACCTATAGTGGTGGACCACCAGGCTAACTACGCTACTTACTGGGAGTAGCGATAACGGACAGGACCCAGGCTTGGGTCCTCGCCCACGAGTTGGTGACTTCTTCTTGGACGACGTAGATCGTAGATCTTCAGATGACAGTAGCAACGCTGAACCTCGGTCCCTGGTGGGGACCCGGTTTATATGCTGCCGGGTAGTGGCTGGCCCCGCCCTTGGCCACGACCACCTTCGAGAAATCTCCTGGGGTTTCTCGACCCTTTCCGAAGGATCTCACCCTAGCATGTGACCACTCCCTGGCTCCCGCTAGGGGCCCCTGTGTAGATCTTACTTGTCACGTGCCTTCCAGGGTCAACCAGAGTGCCATGGCCCAGGGTAACCTCATCCCATGGCTGACACTCTCACACTCCCTCTGGTAGGATTCAGCACTGCACGCCACGCGTGGTGCCACTAAGCACTATCCCAGCGCTCACCGAGCCCCCTCTAGGGCTGGTACTGCACCCACCTACGGGGTGTCCACGCTGACAATGCATCGCATGCCGTGCCTCGCTAGAGCCGGCATTATTCAGCAACATTCACGATGTCGCTACATAGGTGATGTCCGTGATGTGAGTACATCGCACGTCGTGCCCCTGTAGGGCCGGTTCCACACAGTGATATCTGAGATCTGAGATGTCACTACATCCCCCCCCCCCCCCCCCCTGTAGCACTCAGCCGAACTAAGCGAGTAAGGTGATAAGAAGTGAGTAAAAAAGTTAATAACGTTATGTGTGCCTCAACAAACAACAATAACAATGACCAATTAAATACCCAAACCCACCTATACAATATTTACACTACCTACAAATGTACATTAACAACGGGGAGAAGGGTGTGAGTACAGAGCAACACGAGAGAGAAAAAACACAGTGCTCGGAATCCCCTTCATCGCCAACATCTCCCACCCTCACTGTGTAACAATACGCGCAAGCACAATGAAGGCTAGGTTCAGCCAATAATCGATACGGTTCGCCGAGTGCGACAACCAACAGAGGGTGTGGGAGTGTGTGTGCTTGGGGATCATGAAGCCCGAAGAGTTTTTGAATGAGTCCTCGTGGCCGGGCCTCCGGGGGAGGTGGACTCGCTCTCCCTGGAGGTCCCGGGGGGAATTTGCAAATGTCTCGTCGATCCCGGCTCCACACGAAGAGCAGTAGGCCGGGTCGACGGGTTCTCCCCTCCCGAATCCAGTGGAGACGGCGCAAGCGGCGGCTTGGAGGACGTCAGGCGCGCGCCAATTGAGGACGAGATCAGATCACTTCGCTGAAGACCACCTTCAGCGGGCACACACCCTGGCTCTCCGGACACATCTGACACTCGGCCCCTGCGGTGTGGCAATGGAACGAACTTGCACGGCGTGATGAAAGCTTTGAGGCGCGAGGGATGTGCAAACCAACACCGCCGCCCCAAACGGATCTGGACACACTGTGGTCGAACGACCCGAACCACATCAACCGGCCCTCTCAAAGGTTTGAACAATTTGGGCGACGTACCCACCGGTACCTCCAGACAGTGCAACCAGGCTCTGTCCCCAGGCGTCCACTCATCTGTAGAGACACGGGAACCCCTCAGCCGCTCATTAGCCAATTGGCGCAAATCGGAATTTACCCTAGAGGCTTCGCGCGCTTCCGAAAGCTTTTGAAGGGTGAAACGCACAGAGTCAGAAATTTTAGAGTTAGCTTTGTTGGGCGTGGCTTGCAACTGAATATCAATCGGGGGGTTGTGTTCTCTTCCGTACATTAAAAAAAACGGTGAGTAGTCGGTGGATGCGTGAGGGGCCATCCTATATGGTGACAGAACTCCGGGAATGTGTAAATCCCAGTCGAGTTGGGACTCGCTGACCTGGTGGCTCAACATGGACGTCAGAGTCCTGTGTAGGCGCTCAACCATGCCATTCGTCTGCGGGTGGTATGGTGATGTGCGCACTTTCTTTGTTGCCAACAAATTGCATACCTCCCGCAACATCTTCGAAGAAAAATTTCTGCCCTGGTCAGTCAGAAGATGCTCGGGAGCACCCTTGTCCATGACATAGCCATTGAGGAATGCCTCAGTGATCGTCGCCGCTGACTGGTTGAGGAGCGGCCAGGCCACAGGCCATCGTGAAAAATATTCGACTCCCATTAGCAATTACTTATTCCCACGTGGAGTAGTAGTGGGAAATGGACCAAGGATGTCCAGTGCCACTAATTCATTCACACGGGAAACCTGAATCGATTGTAATGGTGGACAACAGGGTTTCGCCGGCGGCTTCCGCCGCACACACTGCACACACCCTTTCAATAAATTAGCGACATCCTCAGCCATGCCAGGTCAGAAGATGTCCAACTTGAGTGTGACCAGCATCTTATGCACACCTAGGTGTAACAAGCGCTCGTGTACCGCCCAAATGATCTTGCCCCGTAGGGCAGTGGGCACAACGATGTTGTATCAGCGCAACCCTCCATCCCAATGCATGAGCAATTCGCCTCTAAGAATGACGGAGGCGATACCCCGTCATTCCTTGCCACCCTCAGGCTCTCTGACATGGCATCGCAGTTCAAGCAGAGAAGCGTCCTCCACCTGGAGGCGCCTCCATTTCGTGTGGTCTAACGCAATGACAGCGTCACGGGCCCGCCGGACCCTCGGCCAACTCCGATGTCGGTACTTCGGCCGACACCGCGAGGGGAGAGGATGAGGCCTTTGCGGCCGGCTTACAGCGCCCAGAGCCCGAGAAGCATGCGCACCCGCCGCTCGTTGGTAATCGGGACAGGCCATCAGCGTTCGTGTGACGGGAGCCCTTGCGATAGGTAACCTTAAAGGAGTAATCCTGGATGACCTCCAACCAGTATGAGAGTTGGCCAGACGGCTCATCAACACGCAGCGCGTACAGTAGCGCTGTGTGGTCAGAGTGTACTTCAAAGTGTCTACTGTACAAATTAGGGCCTTACTGTTGTACAAAAACTACAATGACCAACAGTGCCCGATGTGTGACACAATATCGTTGTTCGGTCAGAGACAGCACCCTGCTGCCGTATGCGACAACACTCTCGACGCCATTGACAACTTGGGACAGAACAGCTCCAATTCCGGTGTTACTTGCGTCCGTATCAAGGACAAACGGCAATGAAAAATCGGGGTAGCGGAGGGGAGGGGCATTCACCAGGCCATCCTGGAGCCCAACAAATGCGGCCTCCTCCTCCTCCCCCCAGTGAAATGTATTACCCTTAACTGTAGAGAGGCTTAGCGATGATAGCAAACCCGGGAAAAAAACGGCCAAGTTCAGACACACGCGGTTTTGTCCGGGGTCAGTCGCAATATCCGATTCACTTACTACGTGGCCCAGATACCAAACTGATTTCTGGAGGAAGTGACATTTCTGCGGCTTCAATTTCAGGTTGGCTGGGCGCATTTTGAGAAAGACAGCGCGTAGCCGTTGCAGGTGTTCGGCAAATGTACGGCTGGAAACGATGACATCGTCGAGGTATACCAAGCACGAGTCTCACTTGAGAGCAGTCAGGACCAGTTCCATTAATCACTGGAACGTGGCCAGCGCGGAATGAAGACCCATCGAAAGCCTTGTGGTGTACGAAAGGCTGTCTTAGGCTTAGAGGCTTTGTCTAGTGGCAACTGCCAGAATCCGGATAGGAGATCGAGAGTGGAAAAGAACCGCGCTCCGGCCAAAGCATCCAGTGAGTCATCCATTCGAGGTAAAGGGTACGCATCAGCGACAGAGACCTAATTAAGCTTACGGAAGTCAACACAAAAGTCCAAGCGACCATCGTGCTTTTTAACGAGCACGATTGGTGCTCCCCATGGGCTGGTGGATGGTGAAATAATGTTCGCGGCTAACATTTCGTCAAGCGCCAGCCGAACGTGTTCTTTTTCCACAGGGCTCAGCTGGTAGGGATTCTGCCGGATAGGAGCGGCGTCGCTCATATCAATGTGTTCTTTGGTTCTTTCGGTAAAGTCACGTAGAATGATAATAAAATAATAAGTTATTATTTTATTTCAATTATTTTATTATTATTTTATTTCAATTATTTTATTTCAATGCTGGATTCGCCTAGTTATTTCAATGCTAAATTCTCCTGTTTGATTTGTACTAAGGGCCTCGGTGAATGTGTATGCTTTGACTTTAACGTAGCTATTTCTGCAGCAGGTACAAGCTCTATTTCTGCAGCAGGTACAAGCTAATCACTCAGCTTTCTCAATGCTAAATTCTATGCTAATTCCATTGTCAAGATGTGTATGCCTTAACTTAGCTATTTCAATGCTAAATTCTATGCTAATCCCTTTAACAATGGGTGCCTCTGCGGGTGTGTATGCTTTAACTTTTAACATAGCTATTTCTGTGACCAGTCACAAGCTAATCATTCAGCCATTTCAATGCTAAATTATATGCTAATTCCTTTGTCAAGGCGCTTTGTTCCTCTCACACAGCTTAAAGGCCGTATCTGAACGTGGCTCTTTCACTCCAGCGCTGTCCTACCAGACAGTCTCGCCCCCCTTCACCTGATGAAGGCCGCTTGTGTTGTGGCCGAAACGTCGTGAGAATATTATTGTGTTATTTTATTTTATCAATTTATTATTTTATTATCATTCTACGTGACTTTACCGAAAGAACCAAAGAAGATGAATCATTGCAGTCACGAAAGCTTTAAATCGAAATTTCATATCAATGTGATGACTCAAAAGTGTGGTGGGTACAATATAAAATTTCCCTTTACTAGCAGCTTTCCCCTCTGGACCTCGAACAATTCCGCATTCTCAGAACAAAGCTTCTCTATCCACCCCTCATCAGGTTTCTGACGCGGCAGTGTATTCGACGCGGCACCCACATTGCCAACAATGCTTCGCTCAGGAACCACTGGCAACGCATGAGCTAGCACGGTACCTTCCTGGCTTACCGACGTGTCTAACCCAGTGTTGAGGACCGGAATGAAAGGTCTTTGGATACCAACATCTGCGCCCCCACCAATGCTGACTTTTTTAGCAGAACCCAAGAGAATTCCTCCCGCCGTCGCCCCTCGGTCTAGCTGCTTCCGCAATCGCAGGGGAACCAGCATTTGCGCGCCCGGGGGAATCCTCACTGTTCAACACGCAAATGCTTGAATGGTAGCATTAGCCTATATAAGCGGATAGGAGAAGGCAAAATTTCCATTTGACAGCCAGATGGTAATTCCATGCACCCCTGGTCAATAAAAAAGTTAGGGGCATTCTTCCCAAAAGATCAGTCCCGAGCAAGCAAGGAGTAGCAAGGGAAGTCAAAACAAGAACCTGTCCTGTAAATTTAACATCCGCAATGCATACCTCCGCTGTTATTTTCCCAATAATGCCCAATGAGCTGCCGTTCGTGGCGAAGCACGGAGCTTCGGCAGGGCATGAGGAACGACATCTAGGGGGCAAGATATTGTAAATCAATTCTGAAATGATTGTCGCTGATGCACCGGTGTCAACGAGCATCCTAATTTCTACCCTCTCTATCAGCCCGATAACAGCGGATGAACCCGCGGTCGCGGCTACCACTCGATGGGCCAGCTCCGACCACTGACCAGGTCGGAGCATCCAGCCGACCCGATCAACATCAAATCCTCCCACCCCGACGCACGACCGGAATGAAACCCGAATGCACGAGATGGGTGAGGTGGATTCAGGGGCCGGGTGTGGAATGTGTCGCAACTCGCCTTGGGGTGCAGTGGATCGAAGGACGGTCGGGCGGATGATGGCGGTGGTCCGGGGAGGCATCATCGTGGTACGCGCCAGCCCAACAAGACGTGTCCTGGCAGGCCGCAGCTGAAGCACACAATGGGGCTGCTCCCGGGATGAGGAGATGTCTTCTGCCGTCGCTGGTCGTCCGCCTGCCGCACTATGCCGTCCCCTCGCCCCCACCTCCACTATGGGTGGATGCACAGGCTGCGACGGGCTCCACATCTGCAGGTGTGTCCGGCCCCTCGTGAGACGCGGACCATGCCCCAACCCCCTTATGCCGTGAGCCTGGATGCATTTCGCAACCCTGATGGACGAAAGATTGTCGTCGTCCATGGCCGGTAAAACGATGTTGAGGTCCTTAGCCAAAGCCAGCAGACTCTCAAGGACCAACGAGTTGACTCCGTCGTGGTCCATTCTTGGACAGGAAGCCTTCGCAAGTGCCAGAAGTGCGCTACGGAAGGCAAGGGGCATCTCGGTTTCCCCTATCTTTCGCGTAGCGAACTTGTGGTGCACGTTGGACGGCGGCTCGTAAATGGCTGCCATTTGCTCGAAGGCTTGAGTCAACGTGGCCCTCTCCGATGGCGGGATGATAAGGAACGCTGCCAGGGCATCATCATCATCAAGGGCAGCAGGCAGCGCTCTCAGCACCTCCGTCCACCCGGCCAAGTCAGCGTTCGTCAGAAACCGCCACTTAAAGGACACCTAGTCGCCTACGGCGGCTGTAAATTCTTTGACAAAACGAAGTCGTTGCCGGAGAGTCGCAGACTTACTCTTTGGAGGCAATACATATTTACTAACACCAACACGTAACAAAAAGGGGTTACTGCCCCTTTACCAGATAACCTATGGTGGTGGACCACCAGGCTAACTACGCTAGTTACTGGGAGTAGCGACAACAGACAGGACCCAGGCTTGGGTCCTCGCCCACGTGTTGGTGACTTCTTCTTGGACGACGTAGATCGTAGATCTTCAGATGACAGTAGCAAAGCTGAACTCCGGTCCCTGGTTGGGACTCGGTTTATATGCTCCCGGGTCGTGGCTGGCCTCGACCACCTTTGAGAAATCTCCTGGGGTTTCTCGACCCTTCCCGTAGGATCTCACCCCAGCACGTGACCACTCCCTAGCCCCTTGTGTAGATCTTACTGGTCATGTGCCTTCCGGAGTCAACCAGAGTGCCATGGCCCAGGGTAACCTCATCCCATGGCAAACACTCTCACACTCCCTCTGGTAGGATTTAGCACTGCAAGCCACGCATGGTGCCACTGCGCTATACCAGCACTCACCGAGCCCCCTTTAGGGCTGGTACTACACCCACCCAGCACTCACCAAGCCCTCACTAGGGCTGGTACTACACCCACCTATGGGGTGTCCGCAATGACAATGCATCGCACGCCATACCTCGCTAGAGCCGGCATTAATTAACGACATTCACGATGTGGCTACATAGGTGATGTCCGCGATGTGAGTACATCGCACGCCGTGCCCCTGTAGGGCCGGTACCACACAGTGACATCTGAGGTGTCACTACACATGTACTTAAGTTCATTTGTCAATCCATTGCTGGATGAGAGCCTCCCCCACGTCTCCTGTGTCGTGGTTATTTGACCATACTTCATCACGCTGGTCAGCGCAGGTTGGTGAAGGCAGGGAGCATAGATGTGGAAGCAGATACTGTAAGTACAGTACAACAGTGGATTCTGCTGCACTGTCCCCTGCTGTCCACCACGTAGCACCATAACCTTTGACACCTGTTACGCATGGTTGTCACCCATCCAAGTACCATTCAGGCTCAATCTAGCTTAGCTTCTGAGATCGGAGGTGATTGGATGCCTTCTGGGTGATTTGGACAGAGGGAAGTTCACAGGCACACACATGTTCTTTTTGGTTCACCAGGCAGAGTGGATGTAAAGGGAGAGGGGGTGTTATGGCGAAATTTAGTGGAAGGTACAAACATTTCCCACGGTATTCAACACAAATGCACATGCCGCTGTAATCTGCTGTTATTATGTCTAGCGAACCATGCGCTGTTATTGACAGGACACTTAATTGTGTTCGTGATGTATTCCCGGTATGTATCGGAACCTTGAGAGAAGTAAAACGATTGTAGCAAAAAGTATTTCGTGGAATAACTCGGGTCCAAATGTACGTAATGCAAAGACCGTTCAGCATTTCTGAAGGTACATTTTTAAAAATATATATATAAAAAAGAGCAAATTAGGGCATTAGGTATTTTGGAGAGGCACATGCTTGGAATTACACTAAGACAAGGAGAGAAGGAACACAGATCGGAAAACATAGCACAATCATGCTGACTGATAAGAGAAGTCAATGGGCTTGGACAGGGCGGGTTGCTAGAAGAGAAGGTGGCCGCTGGGCGAGTGACATCTAAGTGTCACAACTCACCCAAGCGGACCTCCACTGCGGAGATGGAGTTAGTAGTACCGGGGTCGGCAACCTGCGGCTCCGGAGTCGCATGCGGCTCTTTAAAGACTGCTTCGTGACGTTCTTTATCAAGGACCCACCGTCTCGTATTCACCACAGTGCATTGCGGCTCTTGAAATATTGAGGGGGGGGGGGGGGGTTTCATACCGAATTTGAGTTAGTAGAACTGCTGCTCACATGCAGGTTCTGGGTGAAATTTGCATCACAGGACTGTGATGGATGGTAACAACTTGGGGAGGCCTTCGCTCAGCAGTTGATTGATCATGACTGATGGCGATGATCATTTAAGGGGAAATGTTTGTGCTCCTCATTTAAGTGAATACTGTACTGTTTGGCACCGATTGTATCATGCAGGCTCACAGGTATCCAGTGGGGGGCAGCACAAGCCATCACATTCAAGTGCACGCATTGGGTGACGCTGAACGAACTCGACAGCAGAAACCCACACACGGTGGGGACTAATGCAACCCAAATGGCGATCCGATGCTTCGTTGCAATCAAGTGCAGCGATTCGATTGAAAATGTGATTTTATGATTATTTCTTCTCACACAGCTTAAAGGTCGTGATCTGAGCGTGGCTTCTTCCACTCCAGCGCTGTCCTCCAGACAGTCTCGTCCCTTCACCTGATGAAGGCCGCTTGTGTTGTGGCCGAAACGTCGTGATTTTTTGCTATTTTTTTGTTATTTTATTTTCACCTACGTGACTTTACCCAATAGAACCAAAGAGTAATTCTTATTTTTGTTCAATATTCTCAATATTCAATATTCTCAATATATTCTCAATATTCTCAATATTCTCATTTGTGTCCGCCAGTCAGTTTATTTTAGGCGAGGCCCTTTGGTCTAAGAAGTTATTTTCAATAGTGACCCGGCTAAAGCGGCTGAGCAAGTTTCATGGAAAGTCGCGGTGGGGGGGGGGGGGGGGCTGCTGAGAACAAAAGCAGGGACATTTATAAACATGGCCATTACGTAATAATAATAATAAATAACCAGAGCTGTATACAATGGAAACGTAGAAAGCGATTCAAAATAACATTACGCGTGACCCTAGTGAGAGGAACTCACATGTGGCATTTAAAATGGAATGTATCTCGTTCGTACACTTTTGAAATCTCCTTGCCTAAATTTTAGATCAGCATCTAATTTGCACACGATTTGCATCAACGGAATAAAAACGTTAATTCGTGCACGTGCAATGCGATGCACATTATACATCCTGGATAAATCATACCCCGAGCTGGTACTGCTGAGCACTAAAATTTTTTTATCGGTATGCGACGGACATTACTGTTAGTGGCTTAGCGGGTAGTGAAGTACTGCTCCCTACTGTGTGTGCCAGTAGTCACTTGATAGTGTCTCAGAGGTAGCTCTGTGGTGTCTGCTTTCGTGAGCCCTTCTGTCAGGAGGGTGGTACAGGACTTCTCTGCGATGAATCCGAATGGATTAATTCGTCTCATGACATGACACTGATCAGGTTAACGGTGGTGAAAACGATAAAAAAAAAATAATCCCGGTTGGGGTGATCGATTCAACCCATCGCTGCTCCAGGGTTGAGTACTGCTGTTGAAGGTGGTTATATCTTGTGGAAAGACTGCCCCCCCCCCCCCTCGCAAATAATAATGTGACATTTTCACCACAGCTTAGGACCACCGATAGAGATTTTAACAGCTTAGGACTTGTTTCGCTCATGAGATACTGTGAGTTCTGATTTTGTTACAGTGACTCAACCACAATCTATAATTAGTTTTCTTTACAGACCTTTGTCGTTCCATAATAAAGGTTTTTGGGTCAGATCGCGTTATTTATAAATGTGTTGCAACCCCTCCACCACCCGACACGGCCAATCAGTAAAAAAAAGTGTCACGTTAACAAAAAGACAATTAGTTCACTACTTCAGCCCGCCGGTGTGTTGAAGAGTGAATCCACAATATTTACAATTTGTGTAGTGCGACGTTTGTCGTTCCACCGCTGAATGAAGACTGCTCCATGTCAGGACGATCATGCTTTACCGCCTTCGCCATGCTGGTCAGTGCGGATTGGTGAAGGAGGAGACCAGGACCGGTTCAGATATCACGAGTTACTGATGTTACCCGTGACCGGTAATCTAACTTGGGAAACTGGGTTCAAGCACCGTGCGTCAACCACTGCCACCCTTGCGGGTTTTTTTTTTTCCACGGGACCTTAAATGCTTTTGTGACAGGTGACCGCCCCCCACTGGGAAGTGCTGGTCTTGCAAAAAAGATAAATATATAATACTCATATAGGAATAGGTTTTACCCTTTTAACTGGCACAAAAACTGACACCTTTATTCAAGGCATCATGTTTGTAAAAGGGTAAAACCTATTCCTATATCTTGTTTCTGGCAAAGGAGGTCTCATAATGTTAATGCTCAATTCTGTATCCAGATAAATAATACGTTTAGTCCATTGGCCTATGAGCTTTCAAGGCCAATATTATCAACCAGTGTTTATTTATCTAAGCAAGGAAACTCTGAACCGGTTTTGACATTCTGGGTCTCATTAGTCTAGTTCGGTTTGTTAAACAAATTCTGCTAGGTTACCAGATGTTATTGGCAAGATCATTCCATCTGAACGATGTAAAAGAATAACAGCGTACCACGCTGCAGAAGAGGGCATCAACATTGACCTAATTCTATAACAAAAGCTCAGGCTACGGGGCTCATGATTCAAAATGTCCCGCAACTCATGGATATTATATAATCTGCACATTAACTTGGTATGAGCATCGGCAGAACTTAATCATTACTTTTTAACATTGCTGTAAATTTTAAATATGCATCTATGAACTGTGCAAAAAATAATAGTCGTTTAATTTGCCTTCATTAAAGAATGCAGGGAAGGCGAAAAAAGTGGCGTTATTTCCCAGCAGCTGATTAAAAGTACCCTGTTAAGACGGCCTGGCACCTTTCAATCCACTTTTTCTTAGAAAGTTTAATACAGCAGTAATGCAGAGAACTCTAGATTTAAAAGGGGGTCACATTTTTATTAACGTAAAGTTATTCGCATTAAGTCATATTTCCTGGAATGCGAATTAACAATAAAACATAATAAAAGAGCATTTTAAGAATGGAGCATTAATA